AACCGCATACTCATGAAGTCATTTTCAGTAGCCACCCGCATCGCACCCCATGAGAAACACAGAGTCAGTGCAGTCCCAAGAGCCAGCCTCAGCTCCTCCTTCTGAAACAGCAGGAAGCACTCGGCCCCAACATCAGCTCTGCCCAGGGCAGGGGGCCTGAGTCCAGCATCCCCCATCCCAAACTCCTTTTCCCAAGGCCCTTGGCCTATGACCTACCTTGAGAGGGTGTAAGTAACGGAGTCCACGCAGGAAGGGTGGCCAGGCAGGGCCAGGCATCTCATGGCCAAGCGTGCGGGTGAGGTGGGCTATGTAGCTAGTGGCCAGCACCAGCACATCCAACTTGGACAGCTTGGTGTCAGGCGGCACGGCAGGCAGAGTGGCCTGCAGGGCCAGGAAGGCCTGGCGCAGCGTCCTCACCCGACTCCGCTCCCGCGCAGCATTCTCAGGACTGGCCTCGCTCTGCACAGAGGACACCAGGTGAGTGGGTCTGATGCATCTCCATTGTCCCTGGATGCTAAGAGCATCCGAGGGCGAGGTCTCCTGCCAGAGTAGTAGCACGCAGGACAGCAGGGACCCCAGAGCCTTAGAGCTTTGTCCCCTCTTTGCTCTCAGCCCAGCCCCACTTTACAGCAGAGGAAATGGAGAGGAGGCCTTGCCTGGGCTCATAACTGGCAGTCCTATTCTCTTTCTCATCTTCCACTGTGTCTCCCCCTAGCCCTTGTTCCATCCACACCTGAGTCTGAATCCTACTTATCAGGATGCCCTGGGGACACAAGGCACATGTAGCTACACTCTGCTCTGTAGGTCTGACCCTGGACCCAGCCAGCTCTGGAGATGAGAAGGCAGCTGTGCTGAAGAGCACCAAAACACTCTGGCCCTGCCGCTGACCACTGCTCTGGAACCTTAGGAAACTCACATCCTCCTTCAGTTTCCTCGAGAGGAATGAGTTGGGCCAGCTCTCTGACCCACACTCTGGTTAAGACCAGCTCTGATTTATCCCAACCAACCACCCAAGCATAGAGACTTGGAGTGGAAGCGGCCAGTGTCCCCTCTCTGGGGCAGGACAGTAACAGTGAGTGAGGCTTGGCCATCAGAGGTGACATCGCATCCCCTCCAACCCCTTCCTCCCCCAGCTCCCTCTTCAGGTCCGGTGTTTCCTTACCCGGCCACGAGCCAGGCTCCTGGCCCTGGCCCCTCGTGGGCTAGGTGCAGCTCTGTTCCATCTTTGGTGGCTCCAGCCGGTCTCTTCCCACAGGTCCTGCCCTGTCCTGTTCAGGCGGCTCCTCTTCCTGTCAGTGCCTGCTAGCAACTGTGGCGTGGCCCTGGCTGGGCTCGGCCCCACTGCTGGCATGGCCAGTGCTCCTCCAGCCTCCCTCTGTGACATGCCACACCCCTGCGCTGTGGTGCTGCAGCCCCAGGACAGGAACACAGTGGCTGAGGAGCCCTTGGGCTCACACTAGCCGGGGCAGGCTGGTCATCCTGCCAGCAACGTTTATATCTGAGGGAGCTGGCGCTAGCTCAGTCCTGCTCCACTCCTTGCTCTGGGAAAACCGCCCACCCGGCACAGCCCCCACGAAAAGCCTCCTGACTGCCTCCCAACTGGCCAAGGGGTGGGGGTGCTGGATGCTGGGAGTGGCCAAGCCCTGGGAGGAGGCCCCTGCTGAAGAAGGCAGGAGGATGGTGGGAAGGGAGCTCCCTTCCAGGAGCCTGCCTGACCCTGACCGTAGTCCTGGGGTAGACCTGCAACTTCAGCACTGGGGCTACAGTCCATGGAAGGGCCCTGAGCTTCCTTCTCTGTGTCAGAAGCTGGCCTGTGCACATCACTGAAAAGAACTTTCCTCCCCCTGTCAGTGAACACGACCTCCAGCCACAGGGCTCTACTCCCCATCCCCCAACCATGCCTCCTATTTCCAACCCAGTGCTTCTACTTTTACCTTTCTGTCCCCCTGGAAGACCTTCCTCCAGCCCTGCCAGGGGAAAGGCTGCCCATCCTTTGGGTTATGCTTAAAGGATTTGTGAGGATTTCTTCAAACCCCACAGAGTCCAGGATCCACATCTCCCAGTTTGATTGGTGCCCCAATTTATGCACAACCACATCCTGGCTAGCTTCCTAAAAGCTCAGTGTTCTTAGATCACTACACGCCAGGCACTGTGCTAAGTATTAATATGTATTATCTTATTATCTTATTTCTCAAATTATATATTATCTTATTTCTCAAATTAACCTTTTGAGAAAAAAAGACTTGTATCATTATTTCACAGATGGGAAAACTGAGGTATCAGGAGGTGAAATAACTTGCTCAGTGTCAAACATCTAATAAGTGATGGAGGTGGATGAAAGTCCAGGCAGTCAGTTGGACTTGGAAGGCTGCCCTTCACTCTATGCTGTTCTGTCTCGGGTGGATTCCTTAACACATCTATCCCTGTGCTAGATGTGAGGTCTTTGAAGGCAAGGACCAGGATATTTGCTGAGCTCCACTGGACCCTCCACACAGCTAGTTAGGAAGAGGCAAGCTGAAGGGACAGAAAGCCTGCCACAGTTGCCCGCTCTCCTTTGGGAACAGTCACTCATTCTTCTCCTAGTGCTTCAGGTGCTGTAGAAATGCCCTGGAAGTTTCACTACTTCCAGCCCCAAATGGGAGTCCTCTTTTATTATTTTTCACTCTCCATTATGTCTCCAGATACTTCCCCTTTTTTTTGTCCTGTATTTCATTTGCACCCAACTCTTTTTTGTTCTTGTTCAATGTTGCCAGAAAAATACCTAGATTATCAACCTTTTCAAAGACCAGCCTTTGTCTTTATTTCAATATTCTATATCTTCAAAAATTATTTATTCATTAAAAAATTATGATAAAATGTACCATTTTAGCCATTTTACAGTATAGAGTTCAGTGGCATTCACACTGTTGAGCAAACATCACTGCCATCCATTCAAGGAATATTTTTCATATTGTAAAACTGAAATTCTGTACTCACCAAACAATAACTCCCCCTTCCCCCAACCCCCAGTACCACTGAGCTTTCTGTCTCTAAAAAGTTGACTATTCTAAGTATCCCATATGAGTAGAATCATGCAATATTTGTCCTTTTGTGACTGTGATTTATTTCACTTAGCATGTCCACAAGGTTCATCCATGTTGCAGCACACATCAGAACTGTCTTCCTTTTTAAGGCTGAATAATATTCCATTGTATTATTTATCACATTTTGTTTATCCATTCATCTTTGAAGGACATTGGGTTGTTTCTACCTTTGCACTATTTTGAATAATGCTGCCATGAACATGAGTGTACAAATATCTCTTTGAGACCCTGCTTTTGATTCTTTTGAGTATATGCCCAGAAATGAAATTGCTGGATTATAATTCTATTTTTAATTTTTCAAGGGACTGCCATACTATTTTTCATTGTAGCTGCAGCATTTTACATACCGTCGGCTGTGTACAGGAGTTCCAATTTCTCCACATCCTCTGCAACACTTGTTATTGTCTGTTTTGTTTTTGTTTCATAATTGCTATCCTAACGAGTGTGAATCGATATTCTTTGAAAGCCTCCTCCATTTCACTAATTTTTAAGCCTTATCATTTTAATTTTCTTCCTTCTTATTTCTTCAGTTTTGCCCTACTATTCATTTTTCAACTTCTGGAGAAGAAAGCTGGGTTGGTTTGTCTTTAAAGTGTATTGTAATTTGCTAAATGATAAAAAGAACAACAGAACAAGAAGACATAATCATCATAAACTTTTTTTTAATAAACATATTTTTGTACCTAATAATATAGCCTCAAAAATACATCAAGCATCAACTGACAGAAATGCAGGAAGAAATAGATAAATCAACAATTATAGCTGATTTTGACATACCCCTTTCAGAAATTGATAGATTAAGCGGAGATACATAAGCAGAGATTCTTTTTGTTTGTTTGTTTATTTGTTTTTGGTGGGGGAGGTAATTAGGCTTATTTCTTTATTTTTAGAGGAGCTGCTGGGGATCCAACCCACGACCTCATACATGCTAAGCATGAGCTCTACCACTTAAGCTATACCCTCCCCCTAGATTCTAATTAATACACTTAAATATTAAATATATTCCAAAGTAGAGGATAAACAGTGGATAGTCCTGGAGAGAGTAAAAATAGGAAGAGTGTCAAGGCCAATTTTAAAATTTTACTCTGTACACGTGTGCATTGTTTGGATTTTATATAATGGAATTTGTGTATTGTTTTTATACTTCAAAGAACAGTAAGTGCTAAAAGGCAAAAAAGCAGTAATGGTTCAACTGGCTGGCTCACAGTTTCCCCCCACAATACTCTGTCAAAGCCTTGATGAAATCAATATCCATAGGGATTATTTTAATTCCCAGGCTAGAAAACCCATTTACAAAGTAGGAAATAAGAGTAATGTGGGAAATTTTATGTGAGAAGTACTTAAAGACTATGCTTAGGTACAAACAAGCACTTGGGGATAAGGTAAAATGCACTGCAGAACTGCAAAAGCAACTCACTGTACGTTCGAGTGTAGGTGTGCAAATTTTAATACCCATCTAGCAAGTCTCCATAGTAGCTGGTTTGAGGGAATGTGTTGATCAACTTTGGAAAAGTAAGAAGAGTCACAGAGACAAATTCGATGATACTCATCCCAGCACCGTTCAGAAAAGATAGAGCTTGGCCCAACAGACTTTGAGTATTTCTATTGAGATGAGTGAAACCAACTCTCTCCGCTTGGTGCTCTCAGGCAATCAATTTATTAATTTGCCCAATTTTTCTTGTTCTGAAACCATGTTTCTAGCCTCCTTCTGACTCCTAGGCAGTTCTGTCTACATGATTTGAGACTACTGATGATTTTGAAAGTGGTAAGTCAATCCCTACAACTATGATTTCTCATGGTAAATCAATTATGTGGATTCTGATTACATTTTGACTTTCCAAATACACTGTAGAGGGTTAGAATATGCTAATTATTGCCTGTCTGTGTGAAATACTTTTTTAGAGTAAATTTATAAATTGGCATTCTGGCACTGACTACAGGCTGTGTGTTTTAGTTGGCATGGTCAAGAGCACGTTTCTTATCCTGGAAAGTGAAAGGTCAGATATAACTGCCTTCCCTGATGACACAGCATATACGCCACTTCTGGACGGTTGCCTGTTCTCTACAGGTTGTTTTACTTGAACCGACTCTGGCCATTGTGACCATTCATTTCCTAAGAGCTCCTTTCTAAGAGCTCACATACATTCTTCTTAATAATAGTAAAATTTTCCTGGCAGGCAACTAGAAATTTGACTGATTCGAGATTCTAGAATTTATCTTTTTTCCCTTTTTGAATATTTACCTATTTCTGTTGTCTGACACCTCTCTTATAATCAGGATTTCTCCAAGAACACTCAAAGTAGTTCTGTAAGCAGCCCCTTCCTGCCATATTATAATGTAGAACCTAAACAGAAAAGAAAGAAAAAGAAAAGGGCAAATGTAAAGGTTTTTTTAGATAACTATCAATTTACTCGTTCATTCATCCTCTCAACAAACACTTGTGGATTTCTGGAAAGAGCTTGCTATAGAGCATTTGAAAGAAACAGAACACAGTGTTCTTGTCCAGTGTTCTTCTCCACTACTTCTTGGAAAAAGTGTATGTTAGATCACACCTACAACAGGAAACAGCTAGCAGAACAGAAAACAACTGCATTACAATATCATGTTCCCAACTTGGATGCCAAATGCTTAGAGTGTTTCCATTTGCTTGGTCAGTAAAGTTTTATTAATCACATAGTAATTAACACAAAGCAAGGGAGAAAGTGGCTAGTGTAAACTGACATTACTATAGAAATTTTTTTTGAACAGTAATCTTCAAACTGGGGCCCTCATACCCTTAGGGGAAAAAGAATATTTTCCAAGAGGATTCAAGTTCTAGGGTGACCAATTATCCCAGTTTATCTGAAACAGTTTTGGTTTTAGCACTGAAAGTCCCACAACTCAGGGAGCCCTCAGTCCCTAAGGCTGGATCTCAACTTCCATATTACCTCCTTCCTAAAACTGATATGCCTGAGATTTTGCCTGGTTCTGCTTTCCCACCACCCACCTTTTCATGAGAACCCTCTATCACTTTATAGTAGCCATACTTCTTACTCAGTCCTAATTTTATTATGATGACTTGCCCTGGGGTGAAAAAAACCTCCAGGGCACCAAAAAAGGGAGACAATTAGAAATGCTGAAATGGGCAAAGCCTCCTTTAATCTAAGCATCACAGACTCTTGAAAAAGCACGTCACTTTTCACTTATATACTGTGATGGTTAATTTTTTACATCAGTCTGACTGGGCCAAGAGGTGCCCAGATATTTGGTTAAACATTATTCTAGGTGTGCCTGTGAGGATGATTCCAGATGAGATTAACATCTGAATCAGCAGACTAATAAGCAAATTGTTCTCTCTGATGTGAGTGGGCCTTGTCCAATTCATGGAAGGCCTGAATAGAACAAAATGGTGGAGTAAAGGAGAATTTACCCTCTCTGCCTGTCTTCAAGCTAGGACATCTGTCTTTTGCCTTTGGACTCAGACTTGGACTGGAACTTATACCATTGGCTCTCCTGGTCTCTAGCTTGCTGACTGTGAACCTTGGGACTTTGCAGCCTCCCTCACTGCATGAGCCAATTCCTTATAACAAATTTCTCTCTCTCACATATATATGTGTGTGTGTGTGTGTGTGTATATATATATATATATACATACATACACATACACACACATACATACACACATATACCATATATGTATATGGTATATAGATATACTCAACCATACACCAACAAAAGTAGATAACTTAGATGAAACAATTTCTTAGGAAGATACCAATAGCATATATCTATATCTAGATAGATCTAGACACAGACACAGACACAGACAGATATATCCCATTGGTTTGTTTCTCTGAAGAACCCAGACTAATACATATATATTTCTGTTAAGGGCAAATCCTGACATTGGAAACAAAGTATTTTGTCCCTCTCTGGGATAGTCTGAATTCATATTTACTGTGGAACGGAGAAGAGGTGGTATTAGAAATTTTAATTTAATGACCTGGACTCTTCATACCTTGGCAGCTGTCTAAGGAAGCCATGCTTCTGAAGGGAGAGAGTCCCGAGAGCCTCACTGAAGACTGCAGGGACTCCTTTCATCTAAGAAACAAGCTTATAGAAAGGCTTATGTCTGGTCTATCAATCTTTCTTAAATTTACAGTATTCAACAATTAGGCAGAAAACCAAAAAATATACAGAAGATTCAACCAATGCGATAAACTGACTAAATTGAACAGACATCAAAGAACACTCAATAACAACAGAATATACATTATTCTGAAGCGTGCATGAAACATTTTCCAAAATAGATCATATGTTAGGGCATAAAAAAAAAGCCTCTGAAGATTTAAAAAGATAAATTTCATGCAAAGTATGTTCTCCAACCACAATGGAATTAAGTTAGAAATCAACAAAAGAATAAATCTAGGAAATTCACAAAGGTATAGAAATTAAACAACATACTTCCAAATAATCAGTATGTCAAAGAAGAAATTGCAAGGGAAATTAGAAAATACTTTAAGATGAATGAAAACAGAAAAACAATGCAGCAAAACTTATGGGATGCAGCTAAAGCAGTAAGAAAGAGGGAGAATTTATAGCTATAAATGTCTATATATAAAAAACAATAAAAATCTCAAACCTACTTACCTTAGGAAACCAGAAAGGGAAGAATAAACTAAACTCAGAACAAGCAGAAGGAAAGAAATAATGAAGATTAGAGCAAAAATAAATAAAATAGAGAATAGAAAAACATTGGAGAAAGTGAAAAAAAAGTTGGTTCTAAGATCAACAAAATTGGAAAACTTTATCTAGGCTGACCAAGAGAAAAAGAGGACTCAAATTACTAAAATAAATGAAAAAGGGAACATTCTTATTGACCATACACAAAGAAAAAGGATTAAAGGGGAATACTATAAACAACTATATGCCAACAAAAATAGATAACTTAGATGAACAGACAATTTCCTAGAAAAACACAAACTACCAAAATGGACTTAAGAAGATACAGAAAATCTGAGAAAAAATACTGTAAGAGATTGAATTAGTAATATAAAAACCTCCCACAAGAAAAGCCCAGACTCAGACAGCTTCACTGGTGAATTCTACCAAATATTGAGATAAAAATGAATATCAGTCCTTCATAAATTGTTCCAACAAATGGAACAGGAGGGAACACAACCCAACTCATTCTATGATGCCCAGTTTTATGGAGATACTAAAACTAGACGTCACAAGAAAACTACAGACCAATATCCCTTACAAATATAGACAGAAAATTCCTCAACAAAATACAAACAGAATCCAGCAACATGTAAAAAGAATTATACACCATGTCCCAGTGGAAATGGAGAGTTTGCTTAACACTTGAAAATGAATTGCTGTTTAACACACTACATTAATAAAATAAAGGACAACAACCATATGATCACCCAACAGATGAATAAAAAGTGTTTGACAGAATCCAACATCCTTTTATGATCTAACCGTTCAGTAAATTCCCTCAACCTGATAAAGCGTATCTATGAAAAACCCACAGCTAACACTAGATTTACTGGTGAATGCTTTCTCCCTAAGATCAGGAACACAACAAGGATGTCCACTCTCATCTTTTATTCAATGTTGTTCTGGAGATTCTATCAAGGCAAGTAGGCAAGAAAAAGAAACCAGCATTCAGATTGGAAAGGAAGGACATTTATGGTTTTGGTAAGCAAAGTAATACCTCTCCTAAATGTCCATGTTTTAGTCCCTGTAACCTGTGAAAATATTAGGTTACCTGGGAAGGGTAAATTAAGGTTGCTAATCAGCTGGCTTTAGGATAAATTGTCCTGGATTGGGCCCAATGTAATCACAAGGGTAGTTAAAAATTGAAAGGGTTCACTGCCCTCTCTCTCTCCTTCTTTGGAGACAGCCCGCACTCTGTCTATGGAGTGTGTACCTACTTTTACTCTAATCTGAGCACCCAACCCCCATACCTTGTGGCCTTTCTCTTGCCTTTCGGTGTCTCTCTCTAAATAAATCTACCTTTACTCAAAAAAAAAAATTGAAAAGGGAGGCAGAGTTGTTTAGAGCCACAAGAATGATCATGGAGATACAATGATGCTGGCTTTGAAGATTGAGGAGAGGGACCACAAACCAAGGAATGTGCACAACCTTCAGAAGCTGGAAGAGGCAAGATAATGAATTCTCCCTTAGAGCCTTCAGAAAGGAACACAGCCCTGCCAACATCTTGATTTCAGCCCAGTGAGACCCATGTTGGACTTCTAATCTACAGAACTGTAAGATAATATATTTGTATTGTGTCAAGCCACTAAGTATGAGGTAATTTGTTACAGGGGCAATAGGAAACTTAAACAATGGTAAACAGATTTTTGACAAGGATATCATGACAATTCAGTGGGGAAAAAACAGTCTCTTCAACAAATGGTGTTGGGACAACTGGATATTTACATGCAAAAGAATGAAGTTGGACCCCTTCAACCACATTCAAAATTTAACTCAAAGTGGATCACAGATGTAAATTTAACGGGTAAAAACTACAAAAGTCTCAGAAGAAAACAGAGCAAATCTATGTGACCTAACTAAAAGATAGGCTAAAGATTTGAACAGATATTTCTCCAAAGAAGATAAACAAACAGCCAACATGCACATGAAAGGACACTCAACATCATTAGCCATTAAAAGAATGTAAATCAAAATCACAATGTTATACTATTTCACACCTACTAGTTTTGCGAAAATCAAAAAGACAGATAATAACATGTGTTGGTGAGGATAGGAAAACTTGGACCCCTCATACCTTGCTGGTGGGATTGAAAAATGGTACAGATGATTTGGAAGACAGTTTGGCAGTTCTTCAAAGTGTTAAATATAGACTTATCATGTGATTCAGGAATTCTACTCCTAGGTATCTACTCAAGATCAATGAAAACGTATGTCCATACAAAACTTGTACAAGAATGTTCACAGCAGCATTGTTCATAATTGCCAAAAAAGTAAAAAAAAAAAAAAGAAGTCCACCAATTGATAAACGGGAAAATAAAATATGGCACACCTATATAAAGGAATTTTATTTGGCAATAAAAAGAAATAAAGTAATGATAAATGCTACATGAATGAAACTTGAATATATTATGCTAAGTGAAAGAAGTCAGACACGAAAGGTCATGTATTGTATGATTCCACTCATGAAATGTGTAAAATAGGCAAATCCATAGAAACAAAGTAGATTTGTAGTTTCCAGGGACTGGTGAGGGTGGGGGGAATGAAGAGTGACTATGGGAATGAGATTTCTTTTCCTGGGTATAACTATGTTCTAAAATTAGATTGCGGTGATGGTTGTACAACCCTGTGAGGATACTGCACACTTTAAGTGGGTGGATTGCATGGTACATGAATTACATCTCAATAGAGCTATTGATAAAATAGCTATTAAAATATGAACACATATATATATGCATGACTGGGACATTGTGCTGTACACCAGAGATTGACACACTGTAATTGACTGTACTTCAATAATTAAAAAAAAGAAAGAAAATAGCTATTAAAAACATATAAGCATGTAAGGTGTGGAGCGTAAGTCAGTGCTCAGAAAATGAAATGAAATGAAAACCAACAGTTGAAGGGAGTGTCCAGCCCAAACAGGCTGTATGGCTGGGTAGACCCCTGGCTGGAGGAGGTGGTGGGAGGTTTAAAGTATATGGGCAGAGAGCAGAGGTGGGGACTAGGCCCTGAAGGGGAGACTTGGGTGCCCCAAAGAATTTTGCTTGCTTCAGTTTTGTCAAGGGCCAGCCTCAGGATGATCTCTGAAAGAAGGTCCCAGAGCCTTGAGGAGAAGAGTATGTGATGTCAGCACCTGACCTTTGTGACATAGGCACTGGATTCCAGGGAGTACTGACCCCAGGAAATGGGGCTCCCAGCTCCCAAGTGGGGCGGCGTTGCCGCCCCTTAGACAAAGTCCTTGACTTCTAGGCTTTCACCAGCTGGCCCCACTGCTGCTGCTGATCGTGATAAGCCATCTTGGCTGGGGCCAGGCTAAGCCAGGGGACATCAGCATTAGGGACCACAGGGATTAGGGCAACCAGAGTGCCAGGAAACCAGGATGCTTGCAGAATCTTTGTTTCAGATTTAGGAGAACAAAAGTCTATAACAGAAGACCTCCTCCTGGCTGAAGGAGGACAGAGGGCAAGACTCAGACAGAAATCTGGGTCAGAGTGAGTTTAGGGTGACAGATGCTGGGGGCAGGGATGAGCGTATCCATCATTTGTTGGCTCTGTTCCTCTCTCTCCCAGGTCCCCGTGTCACTGAAGTGCCTTCAGAAATACAGCTCAGAGGGACCCTCATTGGTAAGAGCTCACAGTGCCAGAACACCCGCTATTCCTAGTCCCATCTCAGCCTCCATCCCCCAAGCCCCCTCCTCTAACTCTATCCAACCCATCCTACCCTCCCTTCTTCCCTATACCTCCCCTCCTAACTTTCACCTTCCCAGGAGCATTTTGTCAGCTCTTCTGACCCCAGAGGTGATATTTAAGTTCTTGGTGAAACAGCCTGCATGGTACATTAGGCAGAGCCAGAAACAGATCCATTCTCTCAATATCTTGAGCGCTGTTTTTTTCTCCACAGATCCTAAGGGCTGTGTCATCCTCCCTGGCCTACCCAGATAATTGCTGCTGTCCCTCAGCTTCCAAGAGGCAGTTCTGATTCTCCATCCTCTACATCCCTCATCAATGGCCGACTGCAAAGGAGTGAGAGGCCAAATTTAGAGCCAAGCTCCTGCCTAAACACCCAGAGAGCCTGAGGCTACAGGGCTGGATGTCTCCTTGGCCTCACACCAACAGCCACACCAACACCAGGCTGGAGCCACATTCTGTGCACAGAGGGCCTTGATTTGTCACCCACTTCTGGCCTCAGAGATATTGGTCCTGCCTCTGCCAGGTCTCTAATCTCTGCTCTTGACACTCCAGTCTCTTCTGGACTCAAGGCAATGTTGCCTCAAAACAAGGATCAGGTGCTGCTACAGAACGCAGCACCCCCTGGGCGGCCCCCTCAGGGCCCCTCACAACTTGTGGGCTCCCTTCCTCACAACCTACGACCTCTGTCTCCCCAACAATCACTCCATCCCACCCACCCCCCTTTGCTCCCCTCCCTCACGGTCCCACTCTGCTGGCTCCCATTTCTACTCTTCTGACTCAAATTCTGACTTTCTCCTACATCCCTTCTCCTCTCTCCCAAGTTCCCCCACTTTCTTTCATCAGAATTACCTCTCTCTCTCCCTGCCACGGTCTTCCTCACCCTCCCACCGGCTATATCCCTCTCCCACTCTCACTCACTCCTCTTCTCCCTCTCAGCCGCAGAACTCCTCTCTCCTGGTCTCCGGTTGCCAGTCTCCTTCCCATCCTGAAGACCTGCCTAGCTCTACCCTCACCTCCCCCAGCCCCAGCCTACCTTCTGGCGAGGTCAGCTCTAACAGCCAGACATGGCACTCGCATCAGTACAGGGACCTCGGGTCCCTTGGGGTGGAGGGGGGATGCGTGGCAAGCGAGAGGGACCCTGCAGAGTTCAGGGACCCAGGAGCCTTGGCCCAGGTCCTGGTGGTCCATTTGGGGCACCGCCGCATTGCCCGCGACCTGCAGCTACTGCTTTTGCAGCGCCTGTGGCTAGGCAGAACCGGCCAGGCCCCAGTCGTGGAGTATCCTGTATGCCTGGTGTGTCTCCGGCCCCGCAGCCCCTCTTGCCCCATCCCCAAGTACAGGACTGGACCCAAACTGCTTGCTTTCCCCCAGCTGCTGCCCTGTGCACAGAACCAGGAATCCGGACCACTCCGCATGGGCATTGGCTTTGGTCTCCGCCTGTCTCGGGGCCAGGCCAGGGCCTTGCATCTGTTGCCAGAAAGAAGGCTGGGGGAAGTAGGGCCTCAGAACGAGGCTTCTCAGGCCCGTGGGTGTCAAACCCAGGCAGCTCAGGCCCCAGCACCTCGAGCCCCAGCAGCCCAGGCCCAGGTAGATCAAGACCAAGGCACATCCTCAAAGACTGGGAGCCTCAGGTCTGTAGGTCTTCAATCACCAAACTCCACAGGCTGTTCAGGGTCTCCAACTCAGGCACCAAAACAGTTTACTGTCTCCCTGAAGCCCAGGCCTTCCTCTGCTCCAAAGAAGTCTGACTCTCCAGAACCCATTCCCCGAAAGTCACTACCCTAGTTTCAGAGCCACGAAGGCTCCCTGGAGCACCTCCTCCAAACCCCACCATCCCTGCCAGACCCCAGATCTCGGGGAGCCCCCGAGACACTCTGAAGGGCTGGCTGGCTGGAGGTCAGGTGTGTTCTCCTGCCCTGAACCCTGGGAGCCCCTTGTGGAGTCTGCTCTCTCCTGGCTGAAGAGGACCAAGGGCGCCTGAGGCCCCACTTAGCATTCAGCGTATCCAATAAAGCCTGATCCTGTGAAACTTGTGCTTGTGTCTTACTGAGCAGACACAGTGGGTGGTTGTACCTTCAGGAGGACTGGAACCCAACAAAGAGAGTCAAAGGAAACAGAATGGCCATGTATCTGAGGAGGGCAAAGGACTCAGAAGGCCTGAGCACCTGAGATGTGCAGAGGGCTCTGCCAGGCCCTTCACACATTTAATTCAATTCGATGGGACATATAATGGCATCCCCAGAGATGAAGCCACAGGGCCCCTTCCTCTGGCCACACCTTAGATTAATAAGGATGCCTGCTGATGCATGCCAGGGGAGCAGCAGGAGGTGTCTCCTTGGAGGGAAGGGCATGACTAGCGTTCACTTGCAGAGAAACATGGGGTCCTTCTGAGACAGGAGCAGGCAGGGCACAGCCATTCAAGGAATGATACAGCAATTAACATCAAAATGGTGGAGGATTCAACCCTCCAGTAGGCCTTGAGGCTCAAGATGGTGGGAGATTTGACTTCTAGTAGAACTTGAGCTTCATTATATGCCCATTGTAATATATTAGCATGGTGAATAACATGCCAGCAGGCGCCATGATAGTCCCAGGGCTAGCCACAAGAGGTCAAAGAGTGGGAAATGGCCAACTTACTGGGAATCCCAGCCCCTTCCCCAGGCTAGTTAAGACGTATCCTTCCACTTATTAGCATACGAGGCCACTGAGCCCATAAAAACGGGCAACACAACTTGCGGCCACCACCCTCTCTCTCCCACTTTAGAGATGGCCTGCACTCTATGGAGTGTGTACCTACTTTTACTCTAATCTGAGCACCCAACACCCACACCTCATGGCCTTTCTCTTGCCTTTCGATGTATCTCTAAATAAATCTACCTTTACCCAACCGTGGCTTGCTCCTGAATTCTTTCCTGCCTGAAGCCAAGGACCCACACTTGACAGGGCACGTCTCAGGGGCTCAACCAAAGCCTGGGACACAGCCCTCCTCACGCCCCACATCCGTTTTCCCTGCATCACTCCTATAGGACACCAGAAATCTAAGGACCCCCTCAAAAGGATGGGGTGTCAGGCAGAGACCTGCCCTGTCTTGGGGTTCCAGTTGCCTCCCTGAGTGTATCAGAGGGGAGCAGCCCCCACCCACAAACCCTGAGGCGCAGGATTAGGTGCGGAGCCTTGACAATGGCCAACTAACTCCCACCTGTGCGCACTACAGAGGACAGGTGTTAATTGTTAAGGTAAGAAGTGTTTTTTTCCCTAGTACTAGGAAGCGGTAGATTCGGGATTTGAAGCCAGGTTTGTTTTAAAGTCCACGCTGCCTCCGTTAAGAGGCAAAAGAGACGGGTCACGTTTCTGGAGCGTGACTTCGAACAAATCACTTCGTCTCTGGGGTAAAACATAAAGTCTGCGCTCCATGAGTCTGCCTATCCCTCCTGAAGTGTGGATAGTCCTAACCCAAGGATTTCTTTATTAAAGGTTTATTAACCTCCCTTAACCTTTACTGATTCCCCCAGCTCCTCCAGAAACCCCAAGGACGCTTCCGTGAAGCGGCCGCGAGCCTCCACTGCCCCCCTAAAAGATGGCGTAGTCTGACGTCACAAGGGGGCGAAGACCGGCATCCTAGCGCCCGGATTCCAGCAGGCCGCGGCCGGCGAGTGCTGACGCGCAATGACTGCTCCGCGCCTGCGTGAGGAGAGTCGTGCTCGGTGCGCTTGCGCACTGCGAGTCGGCGAGACAGGGTTAGCCGGCCCTGGGCCGAGATAGGGATTCGTGTATGATTAGAGAATTTCCCCAACCCCGCAGGTGTGAGAGGGGTCGGGAGTTTTCCCGGCAGCGAGGGGACCAAGGTCAGCAGCGGCCAGAGAAGTCGTCGCAGGCCGGGCGCGGCATGTCCCGGGTGCTTCGGCGCAGACAGTGAACGCGCGGCGAGCGGGATGGGTCGGCGCCGGGCGCCAGAGCTGTACCGGGCCCCGTTCCCGTTGTACGCGCTGCAGGTCGATCCCAGCGCGGGGCTGCTCATAGCCGCGGGCGGAGGAGGCGCCGCCAAGACCGGCATAAAGAATGGCGTGGTGAGAGTACAGGGCCACTGGGGCCGGGTCACGCCAGGGCTGAGGGCGATTCTGGGAGGGTCTCATGTGTGGGCCGCGCTTCTGCTGCGGACTCTGCCCCTGCCCGGTGCGACTACCCTGCATGCCGGGAGTCCTGGCGCGAACTTTAGTCGAGAACTCACTGGTCAATTGAGAGAATCCTAAGGTAAAATGAAACTGCACACAGCACTGCCAAGGCAGGAAGGTTTCAACTCGACTTCAGGAACAGCCCCCGGGGTCTTATCCTGGCTTTTTCCGGGGAGGCCACATAGACTTGTCTGTCTGCCCTCCAACAGAGGCGAGAGTTCAGCATAAGCTTGGTTTCTTCACTCTTCTGAGAGTTACCATATTCTGTAAACTGCAGGTGATAATCCCAGCGTTGCTTGCTGTACAGATTTGTGAGGCTCAAAAGAAAAAAGGTCTTTAAAAGCCTTGTGAACTACAAAGTGCAATAAGCCCTCAGACTACAGGATGTAAGTTTGCTCTTGAGGTGCCCTCTGAACCTTGCTCATCCTGGTTCCCTCTCCCACAGCACTTTCTGCAGCTGGAGCAGATTAATGGGCGCCTCAGCGCCTCCCTACTGCACTCCCATGATACTGAGACTCGGGCCACCATGAACTTAGCGCTGGCTGGTAATATCCTGGCTGCAGGGCAGGATGCCCAGTGTCAGCTACTGCGCTTCAAGACCCATCAGCAGAAGGGCAAAAACAAAGCAGAGAAGGCAGGTGAGAGCCCCTGCTCTAGCTTTGTGAAAAGGGTTAAACGAGTAAGAGCTCTCTCATCTTGGTCTCTGAAGATGTGGGGCTGAAGGTGAGATTCTCGTAACAGGCGAGAATTCGCTCGACGTTCACCACTAGAGAAGGGGTTATGACTACTTTAGAAGCCTGGAACCTGGCAGGCTGTTTGTATTGCAGGTTCCAAGGAACAGGGGCCTCGGCAAAGGAAAGGGGCTGCCACTGCAGAGAAGAAGTCTGGAGCTGAAACCCACCAGGAGGGGGTAGAACTTAGTGTGGAGAATTTGCAGGCGGTGCAGACAGACTTCAGCGCTGATCCACTGCAGAAAGTTGTATGCTTCAACCATGACAATACCTTGCTTGCCACTGGAGGGACGGATGGCTACGTTCGTGTCTGGAAGGTGTGGTTTTGGGAGGTTAGAGGATGAGGGTCAGTAGCTGCAAGGCCAGAGTTGTGAGAAACTGAACATGGGTTCTGGGAAACTTGAGTAGACTGCACTGAGTGGCTGTTAGCAGAGAGGGGTGGGGATCATTGTGCTCTGGCCCGGTAACTAGGCTAACTACAGTGGTGGTTTGGCTGCAGGTACCGACTTTGGAGAAAGTTCTGGAGTTCAAAGCCCATGAAGGGGAGATTGAGGACCTGGCTTTGGGGCCTGATGGCAAGGTGAGGAGGTGAGAGGGTGGAGAAAGTAGGTGATTATGCTGCTTGTCCCATAAGTGGATCCCCTAACTGTTCATACTTGGAATCTTGATTCCTGACTAGTTGGTAACTGTGGGCTGGGACCTTAAGGCCTCCGTGTGGCAGAAGGATCAACTGGTGACACAGCTGCACTGGCAGGAGAACGGACCCACCTTTTCTAACACGCCTTACCGCTACCAGGCCTGCAGGTGTGAAGACCCCAGAGGGTGGCTGAAAGAGGCATAGCCTAGTTGTAATGGGGAGTGGGAAGAGACGGTGAGCTGGGAAGGATCGGAGCCTTTTCAGGCATTACCCCCAGGGCCTGACCAGGGTGCAGGAAGGCACCAACCTCTGAGGAAGGTTGGGCAGGCCCCAGGAGCTGAACAGCCTCTCACCCGGCCTCCAGGTTTGGGCAGGTTCCAGACCAGCCTGCCGGGCTGCGACTCTTCACGGTGCAGATTCCCCACAAGCGTCTGCGCCAGCCCCAA